TGCATTCATTTCTATTCCTTAAACATTGACTAAGCTGGCACTCGAGGGCGTGGAAGTGAAGAACAAATGGCTCTTCCAGAATGTATTATTTTAGAAATTACTAGTCAGTTGTCCACGCTACGCCGTGGGGCTAGTTGGACAAAATTATTTTAAAATTATTTCATTATAATTTCGTATTTAATTACTTTTTTTAAATGTTTTTTATAAATTTTTTGCTTAAAAAAAACATAAATTATTTTTCTTTATGTATTGATTTTAACTAAAATATTAATCAAGAATTAAAAAATTTTAAAAATATATTTTTCATAATATTATATTAAAAAATATAATTATAATTAATAAATATAATTTTCTAAAAACTAATAAATGGAAAAAAATATATTTAATACTGATGAGAAGATTAATTTTTGAAATTATCCGCACAACACAACGGGTAGATAGAACAAAATCATTTTAAAATTTTATAAATTTTTTATTTAATTATTACTATTTTTTATATAATTTCTGCTTAAAAAATAATTTATTTTTCTTTTTTTAGGAATTCCTAAATAAAAACTTGTAGTATATAATTTAAACCTAAAATATTAATTAAGAATTTAAAAATAAATGCCTTGCATAAGAATATATTCAAAAAATAAAATTACAATTAATGTATAGACTTGTATAAAAATTAACTAATAAAAAAATATTATTATTTAATGTTGATGAGAAGATTATTTTTTTAAAATACATATATTTGATCTATACATATTATATAATCGTCATTTTGTGTAGAAAAAAAACTAACGATTGATTTTTTAAAATTTTAACACCCAATTAAATAAAAAAGAACATAAATTGATGGGAAAAAAATCAATGAAAAAACCAAAAAAATGAAAAAGAAAAAAGAAAAGGCATGTAGTGCCTTTTCTAGGGATTAAAATTTTTATTTTAAAATTTCAATGATCAAAATGAAATAATTTGAAAATTACAAAAAAAAAAAAAAAAAAAAAAAAAAAAAAAAACTAAGAGTGAAATTTTCAAAAAAGAAAAAAAGAAAAACTAAGAGTGAATAGTATATTGTGAGGAAGAGAACAAGTATTGTCATAAAACCAAAAACTTTAAAAATATATTGTTTTATAAGAATATATATAAAAAAATAAAGTTATAATCATTATATAGACCTGCATAAAAATTAACTAGTGAAAAAATAAAATTTTATTCTTATTTAATATTGATGAGAAGACTTTTTTTTAAAAGTATATACATATGATCTATATTTATTATATAATCATCGGTTTACGTGAAAAAATACTTATTGATTTTTAAAAACTTTAACATCCTATTAAATTAAAAAAAAAAAGGTATGGAGTGCATCAAATAGGGATTAAAATTTTTATTTTAAAATTTAAAATAATTTTAGAGATCAAAACAAAAATATTTGAAAATCACAAAAAAAACGTTAAAAAAAAAAACTAAAAGTGAAAATTACAAAAAAAAAAAAAAAAAGAAGAAGAAGTGAACATTACATTGTGAGGGAGTGATTTTTAAAGTATATATATATATATATATAATCATCAGATTGTATGAAAAAAAATAATAATCAATTTTTAAAAATTTTAACACTCAAATAAATAAAAAAAGAACATAAATTGATGAAAAAAAAAAGAAAAAAACCAAAGAGAAAAAGAAGAGGCATATAGTGCACCAACTAGGGATTAAAATTTTTATTTTAAAATTTTAGGAATTAAAATGAAATAATTTGAAAAAAAAATAAGGAAAAACAAGTAAGAGTGAAAATTACAAAAAAATAATAATAATAATAATAATGTAAAAATAAAAAAATAATAAGAAAAAAAGAAAAAATCTAAGAGTGAAAATTAAAAAAAGAAAAAAATACTAAGATTGAGTAGTATAGTGTGAGCGTAAATTAAAGTAAATAAGAAAAAAACTAAGAGTGAAAATTCCAAAATAATAATAATAGTAATAATAATAAAATGTAAAAAAAAATCTAAAAATGAGTGAATAGTACATTGTGAGGAAGAGAACGATGTTGTCATAAAAAAAACTTTACAATATATTGTTTTATAAGAATATATAAAAAAAAATAAAGTTATAATCAATATTTAGACTTGCATAAAAATTAACCAGTGAAAAATAAAATTTTATTCTTGTTTAATGTTGATGAGAAGAATTTTTTGTTAAAGTATATACATATGATCTATATATATTATATAATCATCTGTTTATGTGAAAAAAAAAAGCAACAATTGATTTTTAAAAATTTTAACATCCTATTAAATAAAAAAAATAAATTGATGGAAAAATTTTTATTTTTTTAAAAAAAAGACTTGGAGTGCATCAAATAGGGATTAAAATTTTTATTTTAAAATTTAAAATAATTTTAGGGATCAAAACGAAGTAATTTGAAAATCACAAAAAAAAGGTAAAAAAAAAAAAAAACTAAGAGTGAAAATTACAAGGAAAAAAAAAGTAAGTGTGAATAGTATATTGTGAGGGTAAAAAAAAAAAAAAAAGAGTGAACAGTACATTATGAGGGAGTGATTTTTAAAATATATACATTTGATCTATATATAATATATAATCATCGACTTGTATGAAAACAATAATGATCGATTTTTAAAAATTTTAACACTCAATTAAATAAAAAAGAACATAAATTGATGAAAAAATAAATAAAAATACCAAAGAGAAAAAGAAGAGACATATGATGCATAAGCTAGGGATTAAATTTTTTATTTTAAAATTTTAGTGATCAAAAAGTAATAATTTGAAAATTAAAAAAAAAAAAACTAAGGAAATAAACTAAGAGTGAAAATTACAAAAATAAAAAAAAACAAAATAATGAAAAAATAATAATAAGAAGAAAAACAAAATCTAAGAGTGAAAATTTAAACAAAGGAAAAAAAAACTAAGATTAAGTAGTATAATGTGAGGGTAAAGTAAAGTAGATAAAAAAAAAAAAACTAAGAGTGAAAATTACAAAAAAAAATAATAATAAAATAAAATAATGTAAAAAAAAAAACTAAGAAAAAAAGAAGAAGAAATCTAAAAATTAAAAAACTAAAACTAAAATTGAGTAATATAGATTAAAGAAAAAAATAAATAAATAATAACTGTTTAAATGAACAGTACAGTAATAGGGGTGAACTCCTCATGCGTTTTAGTTATATAAACAATAACAATTTGTTTAATCGATATAAAATGTGATCCAAATCTTACAAAATTTTAGATTCTGACAAATGATGATGCTATAACTTCAATTGGATTAATTCTTAATAAATTAATATTTGCAATTTGTGAAAACAATAAATCAGAGATGCACGTTAGCTTCATGGTGGAGGCATTTTCGCTTCCAAATATTGCAATATTGATGAGGTGAAGTCCCCGATAAGAATTAATTTCTAGTTTATTGATAATAATAAACTAGTTTACAGCAAGCAATCAAGAACAACAATAAAACAAATCTTTTAGTGTTATTTGGTAACAATGAATGAAATAATCAAAGTAGAATAACAGAAAAGAGAATAAAAATTTTATTATCACTATTAGTTGAAGAATGAAGTAGGAATAAAAATAAAAATTAAACACCCTTTCATTTTTATGAGAAAATGTGTGAATAAAAAAAATTGAATGAATTATTTTTTAAAATAATAATATATTATTTTTATTTATTATGTATTAGGTATTTCTATTGCCATACTACCTCTAGCTTTACTATCGTTGATGCTATTGGCAATGGTGATAAAACAAAATTAAAAAATATATATATATTATTGTCATTATTATTCTGCCACCACTTCTCTTCCATCGTTCTCATCTCTTTTATTATATCACCATCATTATTTTTATTGCACTATCGTATCTTATGACAGTGGTATATATATTGCTATTACTATTACCTTCTTATCCTCCTCTTCCTACTCCATCATTAGCACTATCAATACCAAAATAATCTTTATTGATTTTTAATGCAATCATAGCCAATGAAATTATTTTTTTAATCATTATTTTTATTAATATAAAAAACTAAATATTAAAAATTTAAATTTTATTTTGATTCCTTGTTACCATTCTAAACACAATATGATAATATAAATATTATTTTAATTTTTTAATTTTCATTTTGATTTTTGTATTTCTATTTTAGATTTTTTTATTCAGTAACCAAGCGACACTTTAAGAAATATTCGATAAAATTGCCATATGAAAAAATAATTAGTTATTCAATACATATAAAATTATTCTTCCTTGAAAAAATGGAATCCATAGACCATTTTTATCTTGAATCACTTTTATGTAAAATCAAATATGAATTTGTTTTATCTAAAGGAAATTAAATCGAGACCCATGAATAAACAACACAAACAAACAAAAACGAATGAATTATATTTAATTTTTATAGTTTTATAAATATTTCACTCCACCTCTACCAAATAAAGTAAATTTTTTCAATATTATTCTTTGCTTTTAAATAGCTATGATAAACTCACATATTGTTCTTTTTCATTTTTTGAAAATTTTCTCTTACCCTTTTTTTTCTAATATCTAATTCATCTTTAAAAAAACCCAAAAATATTTGATAAAAAAAAATTCAAATACTGGTCATGAAATTAGTTCTCGTTATCAATTTAACGAAAAAAAAGGCCACATAGAAAATTTTTGTAAATTATGAGTGGACATTAGGGACAGTATAAACTATAAAAACTGAAGTGGAATATTGTAGAATCTACAGGGGTTAGAATATAGTTTACCACCAAGTTTGGGGTCAGCCCAAATTGAGATGGCCCATTTACAAACCCAATACAAAATATTTGGCTGGGCTTTTGAAGCAGTCTCGCTTTACTTTTTGTCTGGCAAGGCAGGTGTCCACTTCCACACAGCAACTTCACTGAGAGAGTGAATTACGCGCTCGTTACGCACTCCAATTTCTTCTTCTCTTACGGCAAATTGCAACACTAGCAAGTAGCAAGTAACTAACAGCAAATAGAAGCTAGGGCATGACCATGGCTTCTTTATCTAAACCACCAACATCGTTATCCCTGCACGCTCTCTCCAACCGTGTCTCTTTATTTTCCCCTCCGGCAGTGGTGTTATCTTTTCCGTTTAATGGAACGGCTTTGGGTAGTCGGCGTGTGAGCGCGATTAAGACAGGATCAGACGGTTCAGATTTGCTGAGAAAACCGATTGTACCGTCAGGGAAGGACTTGATTGGAGTTTCTGAAGAAGTAGAGGACAGTGAAGGGGAAAAGGAAGAAGAAGAAGATGAAGGATTTGTGGATTGGGAGGACAGGATATTGGAGGATACGGTCCCACTTGTTGGGTTTGTTAGAATGCTTCTTCATTCTGGCAAGTAAGTATTTTAAAATTTTAATTACTGTAATATAAATCTGTCAAATTTTATGTGATTTTTATGAGGTTTTGCTGTGGCAGATATGAAAGTGGTAACAGATTGAGTCCGGAGCATGAGAGGACTATCGTGGATAGATTGCTTGCTTATCATCCAGATTGTGATAAGAAGATTGGATGTGGAATTGACTATATCACAGTAATGCCTGCCTCTCTCTCTCTCTCTCTCTCTCTCTCTCTATTATCATTGATTTGGTTTAGTTCTTGTTCATGCTTTTTTACAATACAAATGTATTGGTCATGTGCCTAGCAATTCTGCGCCGAGACTAAAAGCATCTTAGTTAACAATGTAGACTGCTGAGTGAATATAAAGTGTTAGATTATAATTTTGATGCATCTTTGTCTTTTTTATTTTTTTGAATAAAAGGAAACAGAGAGAAAAAGATGCCAGTTCGGTTTTCTGTTGATCAAGCTATGGGTTGCTGCAAGTGTTTTTTTTGGTCAGCTACCATTGCTCATCGATTGAATTGGGAATCATGCATATTGTTTTTATTCCTTCAGTGGTTATGTATGTAGCTGCCAAATTATCTAAAGCTCCATTACGTTTGGGACATTTTCTGACATGAAGAGGAAAATTTTTTAACAGTTTGTTATTGCATATTTTTGTGTCTTTTGAGACATGAAAAATTGAAGTTAAGTAGCGTTATCTATGGTCTGCTAGTAACCAAATTATCTTCCAAGTGTGATTCCTGTAAAATTCAATTTTTTAGTGTTGTGGAAAACACAAATAGCTGTTTTTTCAAAGGAGCTGGGATCCTGGGAGTGATCTCTTTTACTCTTTCTGACAGTAAAGGCAAATGCACACATGCAGCAGAAGAATGCTGCTGGGAGAATGACAATTAAGCTTTTGATGTTAAAGAAGTCTTTAGATTTGATTGGCATTATCTAATAGCAGGACACTGCTAACTAGTTTTTAAGACAGATTCATATTTGTTTTTAAATATTGATCTTGATTTTCTGCATTCATAACCTTTTAAACTTCAGATAGTGAGTTGGTTGCCTTTATTGGGGTTGGGGAATTGTGATTCTGATATATGTTTCCCAGCTGCATTTTGTTTTTGGTAACCCACACACCTAAGACTCCTAGCAGAACTAATCTGCTAGTAGTTGAACTTGTGACCTCTTGCAAGAGACCACTATCACTGGACTACAAGCTCTTTGGTTTCCCAGCTGCATTTAATGGCTAATCATGTGGGTTTCTTGTTTGTGCTGATAGGTTGGGTATCATCCTGATTTTGTGGACTCGCGATGTTTGTTCATAGTTCGAAAAGATGGGCAATTGGTTGACTTTTCTTATTGGAAATGCATAAAGGGCTTGATCAAGAAGAACTATCCACTATATGCAGACAGTTTCATTCTCAGACATTTCCGACGGCGGAGAAGGAGTTGAAGGTAGCCTCCTCAACTTTGTCAACAACCTGTATAATTGTATGCTGAGGGTTTTTTCCTCCCTCCCTTCCTTTTTTTTATTTTTTTTGTATTTGTTTGGTTCTTGTTGTCTAAAATGTCTTTGTACGTCTTGGAGCAACATATGCCGTAAGTCGAAGCAAGGATTGAAATCCTTAACGTTTAAATTGAAATGCTTGGTAAAGTTTTTAGAAGGATAAATCTGAAAGTTTGGAGTACAACTCAACTGCAACCTGCTATATTTATGTTCACACCAACATCTCCCATTTTTTAAATTGCTGATGTATCGTGATTCACGGTAAGTTGCACTCTGGGGAATTGCTGATGTATCGTGATTCATGGTAAGTTACACTCTGGGGCACAGCTTCCTCTCAGGGTTCTCAAAAGGAAGAGAAGAGCTAAGTCCATCTTTCTCGTCAAATGACGCTTAAATTGAACTCGGTAGTGCATGCCTTAAATTTGATGTCATGTTCAGGAGCACTTGGCCATATGTTATGTCAACTTAGATTGGCCTTAAAGTCATGTTCAATACCCTTATGTTCGTATATCATTTTAGTTTCAACAAAATTGGCCTTGAATTCGGCAATAGGGATTTTCATAAGACAAATGTCATGCAGACAGACTCAATGGGGACCTCTTTTTTATTCTGTGCTCTTTTTAAATATTTAATATTTGCGTATTTTGGGAATGTAAGACTGGTGTCATTGTATTTGTGATTTGGCTCAATCTGCTATATTTTAGGTTCCTGCGTAACAATGTTTTTTTTTTTTTTTTTTTTTTTATGAATTAACAATGTATGTTGGGAAGCTCCTCTGCAACTCCCAAAACCTCCAAGATTCCTAGTTTTAGGCCCTTGGATTCTCTGTGGCCCCATTTGTATTATTTTCCATCATTTGACGGTCAGTTTACTAATAGTCTGTCATTTTTCGATTTCGATGAAGAACTGCAATGCGGAATCAGGAAGACTTTTCATCCTTTATCTATTATTTACGATAAGAGATCCATGAGTTTTTAAATGTATTTAACTTAAGTCGATTGATTTTTTCATCATTGACTTTGAAGAACATCAGATAGTCTTGTAAATCTAATTCAAGCTTTTGGGACGTAAAAATCCAATTTGGTCAGACCATTTTGTCTTGGTATTTTGAGCTAATATTAAGAAAGCTAAAACTATTGATTCGGCCTACTTTCAAGTCTTTCTAAAATCAATATTTTATATTTATTTTTTAGTTAAAATTTATCAAGTTTTGGTTTATAATAATGGCTGTTGAATTCAAGGAGTTTCTTTCAATTTCAAAGAGTCTTATTCAAATTTTTGTTGGATTCAATATTTTTTATCATTAGATCCTATGTAACTTTAATTTATTTTCGTCTTTCTGAATTTCAACAACCTATTTATGTAAAAACAATATGTAATTTTTTGTTTAATTAATCTTTGAATCAAATCATCCTTCGTGAGAAAATTCACACTTTAGCTATTTTTAGAACTGAATCAAAACTTATCAAGAGTCTAATTCGATTCTTGTAGTGTTCAAGCTGACTTATCACTTCTTTTTTACCATTTTTGGAATTTGACTTGTATATCTTTTCAATTTGATCCGGCTTTTCGTGATTCTTTTTTCTTGTTCGTGGGTTTTTTAACTATCGAGCTAGGTGAGTTCACATTAATAGAGAACCCACGAACAAGAAAATTTTTTGTAAAGCCAAATCAAATTAGAAAGATATGGATTTCACACTTTAGATAGGTAGAAAATGAGTGATAAGTCACTCGAACGCCACACGAATCGAATTAGACTTTTAATAAGTTCGATTCGGCTTTATAAAAAATAAGGTGTGATCACAAAGATTGATTTAATTCAAAGATTGATTGAAAATTACAAATTTGTTTTAATAAATAAGCTGTTGGAATTCAAAAAGACAAATAGAATTAAAATTACATAGGATTTGTAACCAAAATATTGGATCACTACAAAACCTTGATGAAGTCTTCTCGAAATTAGTAGAAACTCCTTGAATTCAACAACCATTAGTATGGTTTGAATCTTAAAAGCAAGTGGTGTAAAATTCTAACTTTGAAGTGGATTAATTTAGTAGCTTTGACTTTATAATCTTGGCCCAAAATGTCAAGAAAAGATAGAGATTGGACTTCAAATCTGAAAATTTTGGCCTAATAGTTTGGATGAGATTCGCAAAGCCCATTTGATGTTCTTCAAGACCATTGATGAAAAATTCGACTCACTTAAGCTCGAATAAGCCCATTTAACTTAAATAAGCAATGACTCAATTAGCTTAACATGAATTAACTTAAGCCCATTTAAGTTAAATAAGTCACAACTCAATCAACATGCATTCCCTCTCGATCCAAATGACAATTGAATCAATCCATTTTGGTTCAACTTCAATTCATATTGCGAGCTCATTAATTTCAACTTAAATAATAAGCTTTAACTCCTTTTGAACTCTATTTTCTCATTGACTAGCCCATTGAGTAGTCCATATACTAATCCGTTCATTGGACATTAAGTAGTCTATATTATTCAACTTCGGTGTTCTCATCATACCCCATCTCTTCAAAAAGATTCATCCTCGAATCCTCACTTTTAAGCCGAATTCAAACTCTTGCCATAAAGAGATAACAAGACTAGGTAAAGTTCGTTAGCGTTAAAATAAGCCTCCTTGTACAAATGTACAATCATCGACTTTAGTGAAAAATATGATCTTTTAATGTCATTCTCTTTTGCAAAAAAAAAAAAAAACTCTATTTCTTTTTCTTTCCTTTTTCACTCTCATTTTCTTTTCCTTTTTATCTCATTTTGCTCTCAACCTTAACTTTTTCTCTCTCAATTTCTTTTTTCATACTCATTTGATCCTTACAGATTTGTCGAGGTGACAAAAAAACAAGTGTTACATTTTTTTCTCCCATTACAAAAGAATACTTATTCCGAAATCCATTATGTTTCACCCTTCCGTCGATTACCAAGTTTTACCTAATAGAATATGACTCGCATACATTGATATAACATCACATAAAAATTCATCTTTGTATCTCTTAATAGAAAATGGCACAAGAATCTCCCTATTCATCTTAATTTTCCCATAATTATTCAATTATTACGACTTATATGGCCTAGGATGTTTAAGTACGGACAATCCTAGCTTTTCAACTAACTTGGTGCTTGCTATATTAGCATAACTACCGTATCTATTATCAAGCTACAAACTTTATTGTTCACATGATAACGGATATCAAATTTTTTTTCTCTTTGTGCATCACCCTCATCTTTCACTTGCATGTTCAAAGCGCATATAATAACTAAGGCCTCACCAACTACGGGATACTCCTCTCCCTCACTCTCATTTTTAGAATTGGACTCTTTTTTTTTTTACTCACCTTCGAACTCTATATTCCCATTTCCTTTTAACACAATTGTCTTCCTTTTTGGACACTAAGAAGCAATTGACCTTTACCTATGTATTTAAAATATTTAATATCCTTATTTTTATCGGATTGAGATTCGGAGATACCTCTTTCTCGATTGGGGAACACCTACTTGTTTTTGGATGTTTTGACCTTGGACTGAAAATCGAGTCCTCACTTTTTTGCCTTTATATAAATCTATTTTGAGCTTGTAACCAACTATCTCCTCCTTTCCACTCCATTTTGAATTTCCATGGTGGAGTAGAACTCACGGATCTGTCTTAGTCGAGAAATATTTCTCATATTGATTTGTCTTTCGACTTTCATTGCCATATGTACCAAACCCTCAAACTCCACATAGTGTTGCGGCTTTATTATATTAGTAATTTTTTGATTCAACCTATGTAGAAATCGTGTCATTGTGGCTTCCTTATCCTCATCAACATTAGCCTTTATCAAAGCCATTTCTATTTCTTTGTGGCAATCCTCTACACTCCTTGTACCTTAAGTAAGCCCTTGTAATTTTTGGAGCATATCTCTATAATAATGGCTCGAAATAATCTCCTCCTCATGGCAGACCTTTATTTCATACCATGTACTAATTGGCCTATCTCTATTTCTCCTTTTAATTATCACCAATTGGTTCCACCAAATGATAGCATAATTTATGAACTCAACAATAGTAATTTTCACCTTCTTTTTCTTCGAATAATTATGACAATCAAACAACAATTCTACTTGTTTTTTCACTTCAAATAAACATCCGGATCATTCCTATCCCGAAACGATTCATCTAAGTGTTACCCAAATTTTGATCCACATTATTTCTTCTCATAAAATTTCTTAAACACCCTTTGTTAATTTCTATTTTACCCAAATCTTCCCAAACACCAAACTTATCTTCATATCATCCATTACTCCCTCATCTACTCGGTTCTTGACCTACAATCCCTCTTAAATTAGGATTTTCACGCCTTTACAATTCATTCAATTTAGTATGAAGCACATCCAACACTCTCTCAACCCGTTTATAAGATTGTTGGATGGCCCGATATTGTAATTGACCAATTTGATCGCTAGTTTCTTTCATGAGATCTTTATCTTTCAACATGAATGTAACTATACGAGAAGATATTAGTAGGAAAAAAGTCCTCACAAGCACTCCCTCACGTGTTTCCTTCTATTTGATGGCACTCAACGCTCGTGTTTGCTCTCTTTTTGGCTTTTTTTTTTATAAATGAACTCACAAACTCTAGCCTTTTACCACTCCAGCTCACTCTTTTGGTTATTTCGCAAACTAATCCTAACTACAAAAAAAAACTAACCAATTGCAAGTGACAAATAAGTACTCAAAAACTTCACTTTTCAAGAAACAGATTTGGAACAAGGAATTGATAATCCAATTCAACCAAGAATTTTAAGTTTTTGGATAGTAAAAATGACACTAGAACTGACTTGAATTGAATTTAATAAAAAAGATACAAGTCGATTAGTTTTTTAAAAAAATTACTCACAATCTGTTAGCATACAATTTATCGTTTAGCTACTAATTTGAAACACAATAA